GCAAGGGTGACAAAGGGGACCTGGGCCCCGCGGGCCTGGCGGGCCCCAGCGGGCCCAAGGGCGACCCCGGCACCAAGGGCGGCCGCGGAGCCCCGGGCAGGAAAGGCTCCCGCGGGGCCAAGGGCGCCCGTGGGGACGTCCCCAAGTCCCCGCGCTCGGCCTTCAGCGCGGGGCTGTCCAGGCCCTTCCCTCCTCCCAACGTGCCCATCAGGTTTGATCGCGTGTGGTACGACGAGCGCCATGACTACGACCCCGCCACGGGCAAGTTCAACTGCAGCGTGCCCGGCGCCTACGTCTTCTCCTACCACGTCACCGTGCGTGGCCGGCCTGCCCGCCTCAGCCTCGTGGCCAGCAGCAGGAGGGTGGCCAAGGCCAGGGACACCCTCTACGGCCAGGACATCGACCAGGCCTCCTTCCTGACCATCCTCAAGCTGAGGGTTGGTGACCAAGTGTGGCTGGAGGTTGGGAAGGACTGGAACGGGCTCTACGCCGGCGCGGAGGACGACAGCGTCTTCACGGGGTTCCTGCTGTACCCAGATGGTTTCGAGGTCATTCTCTGAGTTTTTGGTGTGAAGATAACCCTGAGGAACATCTTTTCCCTCTGGGTGTGAGAGGAGAAAAGGGCAGCACCTTGGTTTAGTTGTTATTTTCGTGATGTTTTAACAAAAATGTTGGCATGTGCGAGGCGTGGATTACTTTGAAGATGTCACACATCCTTTGTCCATTGTCCAAACATTAACAGGACCAGCGTGGGGAAGGTATTTCCCAGCACAGTTTGGAATTAGAATATTCAAATCATGGAATGAAACTCCTTCCCAGCTCCTGCAGGCCTTGCATGGTCCAAACTCGCTCTAGGAATCAGTTCTGATTTTGATAAAAATGCCAGGGTTTGATTTATAGAGCTCAGCCAGATGGCAACATGAGCAGTAGGTCCCTTGAAATCACCTGAAAAGATTTAGAGCTCTTTTATCCTTGAATCAGTATTATTTAGTGCTTTAGTCTTGGTCATGAATTATAGAAAAGAATTGTCTAAAAGAATATTAGATCAGCGTAAAAAAACCCCCCTGAATCTTGTTCTTAAACAAAAATAAATCTGAAATTTTAAAAAAATAACTGAGAGATGAATATTTCACTTTATTGGTCCACTTGGAGCCCCAGTTTCTGAGCCTCTGATGCTGGGGGATCATCCCTGGGCTGCTGGGAGGAGGAGGAGGCAGCCAAAAACAGACTTTGGAACTCCCTTGAGGTGTTCTGATGGCTCAGAGGATTTGTGGGAAAGTTTAAAAAGCCTCATGGAGACCATTTGACTAGAAAACCTTAATCCAAGCTGTTTTCCACTTTAAAAATACTGAAACATAAAACAAATCCCTCATTTTGAGCTGTTTTTCCTCATTTTTCATGCTGTGGCAGAATGACAGTAGATTGATTGAGCATGTGCATTGTCTCATCATGGAGATGATAAGAAAAAAAAAAAGCCAGCCAAAATATTTGTTCCCTTTTACTTCTGCTTTTATTAGCAAGGATTTGTTTGATAAAACTTTCCTTTTCAGGCTGCAGTGAAGCATTTTGACACTGGTGGAAGAAAATAAATGCTCAGGGTTCTAATCAGGTCAGCAGCTCTTGCCAGTAATTATGAAAAATTATTCCAAAGCCATAAAAACACCTTTTTTTTGTGGTATTTTCCATATTTTTAATCAAATGTTTGCCACTTAATTCCGTGATTTAATTGGCAGGATTGGGTTAAATCACCTGGCTCAGTGTCTTTCCTTTGGCAGAGTGGATAAAATGCCAGGATAATCCCACGGTTTTCTGGGAGCTAAACTGTTATTTTTTCCCTTTGACTCCTGCCCTTTTTCTTTGGATATTCAGCTGGGTGCAACTGGGAACTAAATTGGCTTTGAAGGTGGGAGATTTGGGTTAGAGAGGAAGGCTTTATAAACACCAATAATTTGGATTTAAAGCCTTTGTGGTGCTGCTGAACAGCTCTTGCTGGATAAAACTTATCAGAATATTTTCCCTTCAGTGAGGGAAGCAGTTGGGAGCTGTGGAAAGTGGGGATGAAACTACAGGAGATCTTGGGAATGGGAAGGAGAAAGAAACTTCACATGTTTCCTTCCAAGTCCTTCATAAGCTTTTTGATATCAAAGAAAAGTTCTTGTTCATTTTGACAGGGCATATTAAAGATTTCTGCATCTCTGGCTTGTAAATCACAGCTCTTAAAAATCAGTGTAAGGAAAATTTAGATAATGGTGGAAAATTCCAGTGTTTCCTCTGGGATCAGTTACAACAGCTGAGCTGGTTGTTTTTCCCCCCTCTCATAAAAATGTAAATTGGATGAAATCTTCCCAGGCTGGGGGTTCCTTTTCCTTCTCCTGGGATTTTTCCCCACCTCTCTGATGCTGAAAGCATTGGCTGCTGTTTCATCAGCTCGGCTTCTCCTGGGTAATACACGGTTGGAGGGAATGGCTGGTCCCTTTTCCCTGGAACTGCAGGGGGAGGGAGGAACTTGGAATTCCCAATTTCTGCCATGGATGGCCCAGCTGTAACCGGAGGATAAAGATGGGATTTCTGCTCCTGCAGTCCCCAGCATGACACTGGGAGGGGATCAAGAGCTGATGGAGGCAGGCTGGAATATCAGGACCTGTGTTCAGGACAGGAGTGTGGGATTCCCTTACCTGCACAGCCTCTGCTTTCTATTCTTCAAACATCTAAAATCCTTGGGTAGCCAAATCTGCAGGGTTCAAGAGAAAAATCCAAGAATTTTTATTGACAGAGAGAGGCTGTGGGTTGTATTTATTTAAATAAAAAAAAAAATACATATTTTGACTAATATTGTCTTTGAGTCACTGACTATTGAGGATGTGTTTACAGAAACAAATTTGCAATAATGATATTAATAATAATCTCAACTTCCAGCTGGAAATAGCTGAAGATCAAGCCTTTAGATCTTTGCTGCTGTTAATGATTCTGGGCTGGATTTTGGGCTGGGCTGTTCCCCAGGCAGAGCCAGCTCTGCTGTTTGGACGCTGTGGCTGTCCAGGGAGCAAAAAGTGGCTCATCCTTGGTTTCCCAAGGAGATGGAAGAGATAAGATCAGTTTTACAGCCCAAGTGTAATCCAGATGTCAGGCAGGCTCCTGCAGGGAATTCTCCTTTCCCAGTTTTCCCTCTGAAGGGTAAATCCCACCATCCCTTCATCCCGGTGTCCTGGTGCTGAGGATCCTCCTGCTCGCTGGGATTTGCATCCGTGGATCTGGCAGAGGATTCCCGGGCAGGTGGGGAGCAGCAGGATCAGGAGATGCCCCCGCTGTGCCCGGGCTGTTCCTGTCCTCGGTCACCTGGAATGCCCCAAAAAGGTCCCCAGGGAGAGGTGATGAGCTCACCCTCGGCATCCTTGCCTTGGCACGGCTGCTCCCTCTGGAATATTTCTGAGGAATTGCTTCAGGAAAGCTTTGTTGCCTCACAGATCCTGCTCTGTGAGCTCCCACCCACAACCATTTTAACCCAAAATCCTGCACTGGAATATATCCTGAATATCCCATCCCAGCTGCTGGGAGCTGGGCAGCCTCAGTATTCCTCCCAGCGTATTTGGAGCCAGGAAATATTAAAATATTGGGGAAAACACAAATATATTGCCCTAGATGTTGCAGAGACAAATCTACTCGGTGCTTTCAATATCAGTCTTTATTTCCTTGTGTTATAAATGCAGCCACACACACAAAAAAATGAGCATTTAGCAGAATTGTCTGTGCTTTGTGTGGCTCTTTTCTCCTTATATTCACTTTATTTCTCCCCTCTGCAAACTTGCAGCCTTTATTTTTAAGGTTTTATTTTAGCTCCATCGCTATCCAGATTTTTCATCTCCCCAGGGCATATCTATTTGTTTGGATGACTAACTTGCTTTTCCTGTAGAAATCTGAATTTCTAAGTTGCTGATCCAAGTCTCTCCAATGATAAGTCATTGTCCATCTGTTTGCTCCCTCCTGAGCTGGTGCTGGGAGCTGCAGAGGGAGGATTAATGTGTGTGGAGTTAGGCCTGGATTAGCAAGGACAGCCTCGTGCCTTGTTTTCCCTATGTTCCTGTTGGTGTTCCTGGCTCCTCAGGAAAGAATCCCCTTGGTCTGATGGATTTTTTTTCCCCCACTTTCCATGCCTGTGGAACTTTGTGGGGGGGAAAAAAAAAATTCTTCTAAAATCAGCGTCATTAAAAGCCAGGTTCCAGCTGGATTCATCCCACTTTAAACCTGTATTTGAGGGACTTTCCTGCAGGTTTTTCAGGAGAGCTGTGCAGGAGCACAGACTGTGCTTGCAGGGTTTCAGCAGAAGGGTGAATCTGCTGCAGAGAGCTCCCTGTGGCATCCCAGGAGCCAGATAAAAACTCGTGCTGGATGTGTGGCTGATAAAACAAGATGTTCTGAGCCTCAGAGATGAGATTTGTTGTGCAGGGGCTGGAGTGCCAGAGTAGGAAAAGCTGTTTGAGCCACACACACCTCGTCTGCTGGGCCAGGAGGAATTCCTGGGCTGTTTCTTGTGACTCTGTGTCCCACTGGGTCCTTGTGGGCCAAGGGTTTGGGAGTTCCTGCCAGGATTTTCCCTTGTGTGCCATGGAGCCAATGCCGCTGGACCCAGGATGGACCCGCTGTTGGACCAGGCTCTGGGATAAAGGCTTTAGGAATTGTGGGGGGAAAACGCTGGGGCTGGAGAGAGGAGTGTGAATTTGCGAGAGCAGCAGATGGTGCAGAAGGAGGGGCAGGAGCTGAGAGCACCTTTGGAATCCAGTCCATGGAGGAGCACAAACCCTCCTGCAGCCAGGGAGGATCACACAGCGAGCGGGGCAGAGGCTGCGATCCTACGGGAGATCCCGGCTCTGTGGGAAATCCCAGCGGGATCAGCTCTGTGGGATCCTGTGGGAGATCCTGGCTGGATCAGCCCTGTGGGAAATCCCAGCGGGATCAGCTCTGTGGGAGATCCCGTCTGGATCAGCTCTGTGGGATCCCAAGGGAGATCCTGGCCGGATCAGCTCTGTGCATCCCTTGGGAAATCCCGGCTGGATCAGCTCTATGGGATCCCGAGGGAGATCCCAGCCGGATCAGCTCCGTGGGAAATCCCAGTGGGATCAGCTCTGTGGGATCCCAAGGGAGATCCCTGCTGGATCAGTTCTGTGGGATCCCAAGGGAGATCCCTGCTGGATCAGTTCTGTGGGATCCCAAGGGAGATCCCTGCTGGATCAGTTCTGTGGGATCCTGTGGGAGATCCCTGCTGGATCAGTTCTGTGGGATCCCAAGGGAGATCCCTGCTGGATCAGTTCTGTGGGATCCCAAGGGAGATCCCTGCTGGATCAGCTCCGTGGGATCCCAAGGGAGATCCCGGCTGGATCAGCTCTGTGGGAAATCCCAGCGGGATCAGCTCTGTGGGATCCTGTGGGAGATCCCGGCTGGATCAGGGAAGAGTGAGGGGTCCCCTCCCTGAGGAGGAAGGAGGGAACACCAGGGATGAGCTGACTGCAGCCCCCATTCCCTGTTCTCTCTCTTGGGAGCGACGCCGAGCCCGGCAGGAAGGGGCTGAAGGCGATTTTGGGGATGAAGGTGTTTTCACCATTTAGTTTTATTTCTCATCACCCAGCTCTGGTGACAAATTAATTTCTCCACGTGGATTCCACCCTGTCCTTCCCTCACCCCAAACCATTCCCGGTTTTTCTCTGGGCAGGGAGGGATGGAGCAGCTCTGGTGTCCGGGGTGACCCCACCGCGCCAGCTCATTATTTAAAACATCCCAAAATGTTTAATTACTGCCAAGTGCCGGCTCGGGAACCTGTTTGGAACAGCTCAGCCTGGCTGGGATGGGCTCCGGGCAGATTTTGGGAGGGACAGCAGATGGCAATGTGGCGCTGCGAACCGCCCGAAA